GGGAGTGCATAGCTCTGATCTCCTATTCCTGTTTGCGGCCTGACGTCCCACCTCATGGAGGCGGCGGCCCATGTCTTGCAGGTCCTTCCGCAGCTCTGAGACAGCTGAACACAGAGCCTCTTTAATATCGGAAGTCACCGAGTGGAGTTCCAAATGTGTCGGGAGATGTTGCAGGTAGGAGAGGTGGGTATCAGGCGGCTTGGATTTGTGACTAGGTGCGGTCAGATGGTGAGGCTCAGCGGGGGAAGAATCCGGCTTACCCAGCTGTGTGTTGGAAGTAGCGGGCGGCTTAGCTTGCATCTGTTGTTGCTAGATTTTCCTCATGGTGGCGGCGGGGAGGCGAGTAGAGAGTCTCATGGGTCTCGGGTAGCAGGAGCTCAGTTAGTAAGCGGCCACCATCCTCATGGTGAAAGCCACACCCCCGTCAAGTACAGTTCTTTCTCTGATATGAGGTGTCAAGGAAGGGACCACTCAACCCGTAGAATCAGGAAAGAAGGGCGATCTGGGACTGAGTTGCACCTTCCCCTCCTTGTACTCACAATTTAGGCCTTTCACAGTGTGGTGTCCAGCCGGGAATAAAAGGTAGCTCCCCTTTCCTCCCATCTCTGGTATGTGATGTGTCACTTAAAGACAAGAAAAATGACAGTCCTAACTGCACTGTGGGTGCCTGTAGTGAAAAGGTCTGTGCTCTGGAGCCACCACCTCTCCTTGCTCTCTTCCAACTCACAGTATTCTGCCATTGGAGGGGAGAAAGCAGAATCTTCTCTTCGGCAGCAGTAAATGGCACCTGCTCTGCCTGACAGGGGCGATGATGCCTTAACTCCTGTAAGTCAGCAGGTAGCTGGAGAACAGGGCCTGGAATCTGGACAGCCAGTAGCCTGGTGAAAATTTGGCATATCCGGGCAACAGTCAGCAAATACCCAGTTATTGGGCATAGACTTGAATGGGCCAGTACTAAACACTGAAGATGCTAGGGGTATGGCCCCACTCATTTCTATAAGGACTCACTGCACAAGCATGGGCAGCACAGGAGAATATTTTGGGTGAAGGAATGTGCTTCCTTCATTTAAAAGTATGAAAGAATCTGGGTGAGGGGGGCTAGGGAAGGCAAGCAAATAGTTTTTGTTGGAAACCGAAATTGACCTTAAAATATTGCCTTTTGGTTTTTCCCCCCCAAATACTAGGCTAAATCATAATAGTATACCTACAAAATTATAGGCATCTGTAATGTTTAAATGTTCAGACAAAAATTATATTCCCCAATTGTATGTAAAAGACTATACAACTATATAAATATGTATAATTAAGAGCATTTTTGCACATTATAACAAGACTGTGTGAAAGCAGGAGAATAGGATGTATAATACTGTGAAGTACACCCTGTAAGTAAATAAATTATCTTTGTGGATTTCAAAATGTAACTAAACTATTAAATATTTCCAACACTGTGGCATTTTATCTTCAGTACTTAAGATTGCATTTAACAATCTCAAACTGGAGAGGTGGTGCATTTATGTTCTCGTGTATAAATAGAGAAATACTTTGTTCATGTTTTGCTTTTTATAATTCATTTTCCAAAATGAACTAAATGTAAAGTTAAGCTATATGCAAACGTTAAACTATAGCTATATTAAAGCTGAACTCTGAGGAACAGTGTACTTTTGTTTTTGGCCAAATATGCAGTGAAAAAGTTTTAGGCAGATGTTATAAAAGTAATACTTTCAGAAATAAAAGTGTTAGTTTATTTTGATCAATTAACAAAACAGAAAGTAAATGAACAGAAGAGAAATCAAAAATCAATATTTGGTGTGACCATCCTATGCCTTCAAAACGGCATCTATTCTTCTAGGTACACTTCCACACACACTTTTATTAGAAACTCGGCAGGTAGGTTGTTCCAAACATCTTTGATAACTAAAACGCAGATCTTCCGTGGATATAGGCTGCCTCAAATCCTTGCATAGTTGAGTCGCCTACCCACATTTCCATGTCAGAGGTATGGCATTTGGCCGCAATTCTTCCATGAATACCACTTTTGGCCAGACTTCTCTCCGGACAGAGGGGTGTACCTGGGTCCCACTAGTTTCCGCCAGTTCGGTGCTGATGGCACTGCTGGACAAATTGCAATGTCGAAGGGAAGCATGAGGTGTATTTCATCTGCTGTAAAAAGTTTTCTTGGCCAACCACTGCGTCTACGGTCCTCAAATTTGCTAATTTCTTTGTGCTTCTTCAAAAGAGCTTAAACAGCACATCTTGAAACCCCAGTCTGCTTTGAAATCCTTGCCTGGGAAAGACCTTGCTGATGCAGTATAACTACCGTGTCTTGTTGCTGTGCTCAGTCTTGCCATGGTGTATGACCTGTGACATGAAACAGTCTTCCACATCCTCACCTTAGTAGCAGAGTTTGGCTGTTCCTCACTTCGTTTTAAGCCTCCTACACAGCAGTTTCTGTTTCAGCTTATGACTGTTTCAACCTACATATGAAATTGATGATCATTGGCATCTGCTTTGTAAAACTGGTTAATCATACACCTGATCAATCCTACAAAATCACTGAGTTTGGCTTCAATCCAGCATCAATTCTTACACTTGCAGAAAGAGTAGTCACACCAAATGTTAACGATTTAGATTTTTCTTCTGTTCCCTCACTTTGCATTTTGTAAATTGTTAAAAATAAATATATCTTAAAACATTTATACTTTATATATATATTTACAATACTGTGAAAAAATGCTGCAAATACATATACACACCCACGTATACACACACACGAACATCACACGTTTATCAAATATATTTTAGAATACTTGACGGGCAAAATATTTGTAGGTCTTATTTACTGATAAAATAGATTCTTAACAGACAGACATTAGGGTGCTTGCAGTTTAAAGTTTATTGACACACAAGAATTTGGTCCCAAATCATAATGTGACATATTGAGACTTAAGAAAAAAACTTACACAAAACAGTGCATTCATTTAAGCCCTGACAGCTTTAGTTGCCTCCACAAAAGGGATAAATATATTTTTTTACAAAGTAAATGTCATCACAAATAAAGTTTTATTTAGCCTCATAATGAATTTGATGCAAAAGCTTACATTTATAAGACTAGGTTCATACTGTAGTATGCATGATAACATCCATACCAAAGTAACTCGATTTCACGTAAAGAATTCTATGAAAAAAATCCATACCAGTTTTCATCACAAGCATAAAATAAACTCTATGCTACAAAGAGCATTTGACAACTCTGCAGGACGTCAACTTTAAATATTAGGCCAAAAGCAACGTTTCTTTCTGCCGGTAACCTTGTTTTGCCTTTCATTATTATAACAGGCACTAGAAAAAGGACAACTGTGACTGGTTGCAAGAGAGGACATTACTTTTCTTCCCACTTTCTTTCCTTTTTAACCATATTACCAGTGTTTCAGGTGTAAGCTGGTTGTTTACACACTGTATTGTATTTAAAAACATTTTTAAAAAAACACCTGTCTGGACTTCATGTTTTGAACCGCCACCAATGTGACTAGTGGAAATGCCTTTAGCAACGACTCAAGCGAAGAAGTGCAGAAGAAAAGAAACAAAAAAGGACAATCTACCCAGTAACTACAACTTTCTGTTGAGAATGGCCACAGTTAAAAGATTCTTGTGCAAAATCAGAAGGTAAAATAACAGAATAGCCATTTTGTAAAAGCATTTTGATTTAGTTGGCTATGGATTCAGAGTTTTCCTTCTTTTTCAAGTAAATTGCAAAGAACCCAAAACAAGCATAGAACCTTTGCCAAGAGGTTCTACAGGGAACCATCACTTGCCTGGCAGATACAACCCATTGTAAAAGCCAGGTTAGCTTAGAAGGAGTATAAGTCCTTCTGATACTATCAAACAATACCATCAGCTTTCTTCAAAGTGTGGCCTTTTTCAAAAACCACTAGATACTATTCCAAACAGACAGTGGTTTACAAAACCCATGAAACAATCAGACTAAAAACATCTACAGTCAGTTAAAAAGAGGAAAACCCATACCATCCCACCAAAAGCATTACAGCTCCATCTATAAAGTCTTAAAAAAATAACCATCCAATTCAAGGTTAACAGAGAGAAACCTTGACATTTCCACTTGTAGACAAACCTTCCTTTTTTAGTGGAAATGACATCTGCAAAAGATGACTATGCTACAACTCCTTCATCCATGATATATGCAGTTAATGCATATCGGTCATATGAACCGAGAAACTTTTCTTTATGTTAAGTTTCATGCTTTCCCTGAGACATTGCCAAGTTGCTCTTTAAAATCTTGATGCAAAGCAACTGAAAACCCATTTGACTTTGTGAAATGTAATACAACGGAACCAAAGCAGGTGGCTTCATATGGAAGGACATGATAGTACTCAAGTACAAACAAAAAACAACTCCTAAATCATTGCCACTGCAAAAAGAACTGGATAATCAGACCTTCAATCTGAACCTTTCTATACTG